GTTGGTACTTGGTAGGTGAAGTTCGAAGAAGAGGTAGTTGGGATTGAAGTGAAGCTGTAATAATGTACATTGTGAATCTCTGATAGTACATTTGCCAATATAGTGTTCGGAATACGTAGTACCATTTGCAACGTGGCCAAATTTAGACCAACATTTTTATTTTCTGTTTGTCTTCGAATACCGAAGTAATAAACTTCATCAGTTTAATTTTTTTTTTTTACATGAATAATGATTGGGCATGAAAGTTGAAAAAACATTAAGCAATTTGTTTTGGTTTTGAACATATTGTGATATTTATTCAAGTTCATTTGACATGAATATGTTTAAGTCTAGTTCTAATCTGAATATAAAAATTAAATTTAATTGTCAAAAGTAAGATCTCTTATAATCCGATCTTTTCCTTTCGAGTCAAGTTCCTAAGACAGAAGTTTTCTAGATACCTCTCTTTCAACCGATTTTGTAACTTAGTTAATTAGAGATCGAAATTAGACGTGAGAGAGACTAGACTTTTAGTAAGTAGAGGCGGAGTCAGAATCTGAAGTTTTGAGTTCAGGATTCTAACCCTTTTAAGTTATTGAATTCTAAAGTAATAATTTAAACATATTAAATGAATTTCTTACAACAAACATAGAGTATGGACTAAAGTTACTGAATTCGTCGGAACCGCGCCTTAATCTCTAGCTCCGTCCCTATTAGTAAGAGCAGGTGTGTCTCAGGTTGAGAAGAGTTGTTCATAAGTAATGGTTATGAGTTCTTTCTTATTCCAATTCAGAAGAAGTTACGCTGCGTACAGAATTTAAAACTAAAAGTTTTAAATTTATGATCTTGAACATACATAATATTTATATTGTTATAAAATTAACAATTAAAAATTGATACTCAAATAGATAAAATACTCATAGTCATTTACTTTTATATTTTACCGTTTTCGAAAAGCTTAAAATATCTTATGGTTCTTTTTTTTTTTTTTTTTTTTTTTTTGTAAATTTAGTGAGAACAAGTTGTGACTGGTGAGCCTCGGACTAGAAATAGGTTATTAATCAATAAGTGGTGTTGATGTAGAGACGTAGCATATAGTTTACTGGACAAAAAATAAGAATAGAAATAACACGTGTAACTTTAGGGCGACCTATTTATCAAGTAAATTAAAATATTTTCAAGTAATTTTCTCACACAAAGCAGGGCACTTACCAGAGTTTATACTTTTATTTCTCTAAATTTACACAAAATTGGAAGTATAGAACTCTCCTACGGATTTTACTATTTTATTAATTAAACATGCGCCTAGATCCAAAAACGGGAGGTTAGGTGTAAGATTTTAGTAATATTAAAGATAGTATAAGCACAATTAAGAAGAACATGAGTGAACAGGAACTAGGTCTAATGAATCTGAAAAGCGAATTAGTCTCAGCCACAAAACCACATTACTTTTCAAAGGAAAATCACATACTATTGCTAATCTAATTAATACTCAAATGATTTTATTGTCTTCAACTAATAAGTATAAATGAAGGGAATTAAATTTTGATTAGATATTACGACAACATATTTTTTTTAATTAAAATAATATGAAAACAAACAGATCTATAAACATAATAAAGTAAAGTCACACACACACATATAAATATAAATATAAATATATATATATATATATATATATNTAATTTCTGTAGAGAAATAGAGATGATGGATGCTGCAAATGTATGTAGTAATTAATTGTATGTATTAAATATGGGAAATGAGACATCTCTATTATATATCTGGACACTCTCCACCCAAGTGGCATCTTCTCTATCATTAAAACTTTTGAAAAAACATACTCTTATTGTTCAGAAAATAAAGCTTAGCTAATTTGACAAATTAAAAGCCAAATAATCATAAATTCAAATTCTTACTTAACACTTTTTAGATCTTGTCAATAAAGAAATTTTACTACATGCATTAATTATTTTATGGAACTCATCTAGGTGCCTACAATAATGATGTCTCCAGGGGCACAATTATTGCTATATTCAATCTCATTTTCTCCTTATTTTATCCCCCGTAGACAAATTGGGGCTTTGGTTCACACGGGTGACAGTTGGCTACTTATAATAAATTACTTAATTATTTCATTACCTTTTGTCTAAATTAGGTACTAGGAATAAATGGAAAATGTATCTGCAAAGAAAAAGTGGAGTCATCCCTCATCTTGACTGAGGGCGGTCTTTCTCTGACATGACAGCTATTTCCTCCATCTGAGGTCTCAATCCTTGCTGCTAATCACTTAATCTTTACCTCTCAAACCCTATTTTCTAAAACTTTGCGAATAGGAAACCTAATAATTACCGATTGCATCCTTTGCGGGCATCAATTTGTGCAAATTCCCTATTACCTATTAAACCCTAAATCAATTTGATTTCTAGAAGAACTCTATATTTTGGTGCAAACAGGTTAAATATACTGCTGAATCAACTCCAATAGGAGCAGGAATCCTTCAATTGGAAGATGGCTGATGAAATTACTGAACGCCTAAATAAATTTATTCTTACTGAGGAAGAAAAGGATGTTGTGGCAATTGAATATCCAGATATTCAGTCAAGTATGAAGGATTATAAGGTAAGTCTTTTTGGCAAGGTGATTTATGATAAAAAGGTGAATTTTCAGGGAGTCAAAAACACCATGTCGTTGGTTTGGGGGCCCCGTAGGACTGCAGATAAAGAAAATCGGATGGAACTTTTTTCAATTTATTTTTAAAGATAAGGAAAGTAAGGATAAAATATGGTTTGCTACACCATGGTTGTATGACAAATACCTTCTTAATGTCCATCCTTGAGAACCAGGTTTGAAGAGTGATTCCCAGGTATTTAATATCTGTAATCGGTGGGTTCAAGTTTGGAATATCCCATTACATTGGATGTCAAAAGATGTTGGGCGCAAAATAGGACATGCTTTGGGAGGTAGTGTTGATATTGTAATCCCTGAAAATGGAAGCAAAGAGGGGGATATATGAGGATTAAAGTTACGAAACAAACTGTATTGAAATAAGATACGAAAACTTACTTTATGTTTGCTACTACTGTGGTATGCTAGGACACACTGATAGAACTTGTGTACAAAGAGGGAAGGATATAAGATCAGGCAATCTCAAAAGTGACCAGTTTGGGACATGGTTACGAGCGGAGAATCATTTACTAGCTTCAGATAATCACCGCCGTCAAGGTGTAAATACTAATAGCATTGGGCATACTAGGGTGAAAAATCATATCTTTGAACTGGTTGAGGGAAAAGGAGTTTGGCAGAGGGTACTACCTCAGTTGAAATGCAGCCTGACATAAGAAAAGAGGATCTTCAGAGAGACCAAATGCAGCCCATGGAAGCAACAAATTATGGATCTAGAGAGAAGGAGAGTGCAGAAGTTTGGAATAACACCAGCGTTGGAACTTCTGATGGTATTAAAACTACCTCAATGCGAGGTTTGAATATTGGCTTGGAGAAGAAAGATGTGCAGGAGCAGATGCCAGCGGATGGAAATATGTTGAATGACACAATAAAGCTACAACAAAACTTATTTCAAGTTGTCTCACAAATGCAGGATGCTGACAACCAAAAAATGAAGGAATTGCAAGATAACATAGATAAGGTATGTCCAGACCCTTTAGTGAGCTCTCCTAAGTTTTAACTAAATATAGTGAATAATTCACAACTAATTGCTAATTCAAAACAATGGAAACAGAAGGCTAATATTAAAGGTTGTTCTGATGATATTAAGGGAAACAATTTGTTAGGTTTGAATGAAAATCGTCTTACTGAGGTTGATGTGATAGAGGAAAATATGCATACTATGGGGGATAAAAGAAAAGAACTAATTAATTTTGATACTGAAATGGAAGTTAAAAAACAGAAACAAATGGTGGAGCGGGAGACCAGGCCTAAATGGCTTCCCTCCATGCAATGAAAGCTCTAGTGTGAAATTGTAGAGGCCTGAGGGGTCCTTAACAGTTCCCTTTTTTGAAGGAGACAGTGCGTCTCCACTCCCCAAATATGATTTTCTTAAGTGAAACAAAAAATAGAGATAAAACAGTGCAAAGAGTTCGAGGACAACTAGATATGGCACATGCTATTACTGTGGAACCAATGGGTTTATCCGGTGGACTAGCCTTATTCTGGGTGACAACATCCAGGTATATCAATATCACACTTCTTCTTTTTGTGTTGAAACTTTGATACATGATGTTTTATCTGATTGTAAATATTGGTGTATCTTTGTGTATCTAAGTACGGATAGAATTAATCGTCGATCTCAAATGCAAGAATTAATTAAAAAATCTTCATACTGGGGCACCTTGTCACGTCCCAAACTACCCCCTAGACGTGATTGGCACCCAGCTAATACCACTCACCAGGCGAACCATACCTTCATACCGTAGCCATTAATTTGCACTATTTGATTAAATAAATAAGTATCCAAATAATCTGTTAACTATAACGAACAATTAATATCTTAAAACATTATAATAAACTTCTAGCCCAAATCCCACACTAGACCATGGAGCATATAAGAGAATTACAAAAGACATCATATGAATAAATAATTAAGACTCTTTTTGCAGCCTCCACGAACAATGCGGCGGCTCACCTCAATAACTGAATCAACTCTAGCGAACTCCTTAGCCACTAGCTTCGTTCTCAGCAACAGTGTCTGCATGGACATGCCGGTAAGGAGTGAGTTATACGTAAATATAATCCAGTAAGATCCTCGACCCGCCACTCTGAATACCCCTAAAACAAGTGTTCGAAAATACAAACACACAAAGAACACATAAATAATATGCATAGAAATTCTTTCACCATATAATTACTCTATAAGGTGCAAATAAATATCCAACAACAACACTATATATATATATATATCAACACAACCCATACTAAGGACTTGTCATTAACGGCAATGCAGGAAATTAACCAAACACCCCAACGAGTCCATGACAGCATACACAATGCCCCAAATCTACTACGGCGGCATACACAATGCCCCAAATTTATAACAGCGGCATACACAATGCCCTAAATATATAGCGGTGGCACACACAATGCCCCAAATATATAGCGACGGCATACACAATGCCCCAAATCTATCACGGCGGCATACACAATGCCCCAAATATCATGGCACACAGCCGTATCAAACTATCAAACAACTTATAAAAAAATATTTTTTTTCATAAAATAATATATTTGCGGCTAGTCTAAGACCACCGACTCTGCCAAGCGCACGCTTGTCCCAACACATAGACCGGACAGAGAAAATACATTTTTAAAATGAATTTTAGAAAAGCAAGTATCAAAGCTTAAAGTCTCACTTACCTCGCTAACGGAAAATTTTCCCAACCTTGTAATGTCTAGAACACCAACCAAACGGCCTCCAAGGGCCTCAATTTGAACTTTTATTTATCTTTAAATTGGTTCGAACTCGCCGTCAATTTTCTCAACCGGCGTGCACGATTTCCTTTTTCTTCTTCCTCCGTTTTTCGTAATTAGGACTTAAAAGTTTCAGCTATATACCCTAGACAATCTCACCAAACTAGTAAATGATGGGCCTGGCCCACTTTAATATCTCTACAATAATTAATTAAACTCACTTATTTTTAATTCTCTCTATATATATATTTACTAGCTTAATATTTGGCCCAATAGCTATAAATAAAAATTAATTTCTCTAGTCTCACAATTTATAAGTATATATATAAAAAAGTTGGGTTATTACATTCTCTCCCACTTAGAAGAACATTCGTCCTCGAATGTTAAGCGAGTTATACCCTAGAAAAGAGGTATGAATACTTTATCGTTACACTCATCAGAGAGTTATACGTCTCTTGTACCTTATTTGGAAACTTAATAACAACTATAACTATCTCAAGATTCGGAATCTCTATTCTAGTGTCTTAAATTATAGTTAAACATGTCGAACACTTTCTATTCATCTCATGTAAAGTCTTCGTATAAGGAACTACCTCGCCCATGGCAATCATGAATATTCTTCCATGTCATTCTAAGACCATAAGAAGTTACAAATCTAACATCGTTTGCCTTACAATTGTGCATTACATAGCACGACACCACTCAGTTCATACTCATAATAACATTAAAGTCAGACCTCAACACTAGTAGAGCGATTATGGTGTCCCTTCCCTGAATAAATATCACACCGCTTCTATACACTCTATCCACAAATATAGTCTCCCTACTAGGATTGTCGCCATGCATGGCACATTAAAAGATTTGGCTCCCTGTTTTAAATTAAAAGCTAAAGATAAAGACTCATACGAATATCATATGAATAGTAAGAATACATGTCACTACCACATTAGGTGCCTCAGTATCCTGTCTAGTCATTGCAAAGAATATCGGTGGCCCACCCGCTTCCTGAACACCTTGTATACCTTGTCTATTATGTCCGCGGGCACCCTGTGGAGCGGTTCTAGCTGGTTGATTCTGATTTTGTGTGACTATAGCAGTTCCCTATGGCTGTTTATTAGCCTGACTGTTACCAGAGTAACCCTTAGGATAATATTTAGTGATATGCCCCTTTTCTCCACAAGTAAAACAACCGCCATCTATATCAAAGCAACGACCATAGTGGTTCCTACCATATGTATTACATCTCGGATACTGTCCAAATTGAAATGAACCGTTATCTTTCCCCTGCGTCTGTTGTTGACCTTGCTTTACCGAAAACGTACTCCTAGAAGGCTGCACTACTGACTATGACTGATTAAGCTTGGACTGCCCGCAGTTAAAACCATTCTTACCCTCTAATGGAACTCCATTAAATTCGATGGCACTACGTGCCTTTTTACTTTCTCGCTCGGCCATGTCCCTCTCCTGATAGGACTCATAACGTAGAGCAGTGTTGGCTACTTTTTTGTAGGAACCACCTCGAACATCCCTAACCATCGGGCCACGATAACGATGCTCAAGCCCATCTATGAATCTTCACACCTTTTCATGCTCATCAGCAACCAGAAAGTGTGCATATGTGGCTAACTCAGTAAACTTATCCTCATACTCTGTAAATGTCATAGTGCCCTGGCGCAAGTGCTCAAACTGACACCTCATGTCGTCTCGTTTGCTCAGTGGAAAGAACCTCTCCATAAACATAGCTGAAAACTCTGACCAAATAATTAGTGGCAACCCTGCTCGTCTACCTCTCTGAATAGAATTTCACCATGACTCTGCGGATCCTGAAAATAGAAAAGTAGCAAACTCCACCCCACGAGTCTCCTTTAGCCCTAATGTAGTTAGTATTTTTTCACAATGCTTAATGAACTTTTGAGGCTCAATAGAAGCCTATGTAGCATCGAACTCTGGCGGCTTGAGATCCATGAAATTCTTAAGATCCTTAGACTGCCCTGTATTTGCAACTGGCTGAATAACTTGCTGAGGGGCCATCTGAGGAGCTGCAACATTCAGCTGGACCTGTGCTTGCGCCTGCGAAGTAGCTTGGGGAGCTGGAAGTCCACCCTGAGTAGGCACTAATGCCTCTAACACATTCAACAACCTTTCCATTGCGTCTGCAGGTAGAGTAACAGTAGGCATAGCAACTGGCACTGGTGGTGGAGAATCATGAACCACTTATTCTTGCACTTGGTCTGCCATAGCAGCTTGGGGTCGACCCATATTTACAACTTTAGGCTGAGGAGCTGCATGTCTTCTAGTTTGTGCTCTAGTTTGATGAGCCCCAATTTGATCACCACCTCGGGTAGTACCACGTCTAGCATCACGTCCAGCAGATGAGGGTGTGCGTGTCCTGGCCATCTGCGAAAGAAACGCTCCAAAGTCAAACTCAAGTTATTTAAACGCACGATCAAGGAATGTAATAAGGGAAAACATCCTAAATGCCTAGTAGCCTCAAGATCATAAGTATGGGCTCCAACATATCCATGAGCAAGACTCTACTAAACACTGCTCCATGACCCGGGACTTAAAGCCTAAGCTATGATACCAACTTTGTCACATCCTAAACTACCCCCTAGACGTGATTGACACCCAGCTAATACCAACCGCCAAGCGAACCATACCTTCATACCGTAGCCATTAATTTGCACCATTTGATTAAATAAATAAGTATTCAAATAATCTGATAGCTATAACGAACAATTAATATCTTAAAACATTATAATAAACTTCTAGCCCAAATCCCATACTAGACCATGGGGCATCTAAGAGAATTACAAACGACATCATATGAATAAATAATTAAGACTTTTTTTGCAGCCTCCACGAACAATGCGACGGCTCACCTCAATAACTGAATCAACTCTAGCAAACTCCTTAGCCACTAGCTTCGTTCTCAGCAATAGTATCTGCATGGACATGCTAGTAAGGAGTGAGTTATACGTAAATATAACCTAGTAAGATCCTCAACCCGCCACTCTAAATACCCCTGGAAAAAGTGTTCGAAAATACAAACACACAAAGAGCACAGAAATAATATGCACACAAATTCTTTCACCATATAATTACTTTATAAGGTACAAATAATTATCCAACAACAACACTATATATATATATCAACATAACCCATACTAAGGACTTGTCATTAACGGCAGTGCAGGAAATTAACCAAACACCCCCAACGAGTCCACGACAGCATACACAATGCCCCAAATCTACTACGGCGGCATACAATGCCCCAAATTTATAACGGCGGCATACACTATGCCCCAAATATATAGCGGCGACACACACAATGCCCAAATATATAGCGACGACATACACAATGCCCCAAATCTATCACGACGGCATACACAATGCCCCAAATATCATGGCACACAGCCGTATGAAACTATCAAACAACTTATAAAATAATATTTTTTTTCATAAAATAATATATTTGCGGCTAGTCTAAGACCACCGACTCTGCCAAGCGCACGCTTGTCCCAACACATGGACCGAACAGAGAAAATATATTTTTAAAACGGGTTTTAGAAAAGCAAGTATCAAAGCTTAAAGTCTCACTTACCTCGCTAACGGGAAGTTTCCCCAACCTTGTAATGTTTAGAACATCAACCAAACGGCCTCTAAGGGCCTCAATCTGAACTTTTATTTCTCTTTAAATTGGTTCGAACTCTCCGTCAATTTGCTCAACCGGCGTGCACGATTTTCTTTTTCTTCTTCCTCCGTTTTTCGTAATTAGGACTTAAAGTTTCAGCTATATACCTTAGACAATCTCACCAAACTAGTAAATGGTGGGCCTGGCCCACTTTAATATCTCTACAATAATTAATTAAACTCACTTATTTTTAATTCTCTCTCTATATATTTACTAGCTTAATATTTGACCCAATAGCTATAAATAAAAATTAATTTCTCTAGTCTCACAATTTATAAGTAGACATATAAAAACGTTGGTTTATTACACACCTTCTGGGTCTTAGCTGGTGATTTTAATGATATTCTTGATGATTCAGAAAAACAAGGAGGATGAACTAGAGATAATTGGACCTTTAGAGACTTTTAGGATTTTATTTGGAACTTAGGTGCACTTGACTTGGGTTACAAAGGAAAACCTTGGACCTGGTGGTGCTAACGGAAAAATGAGGGTATTATTCAGAAAAGGTTAGATAGGGTCTTAGTCTCCCCTAATTGGAAAATAAAGTTTGAAAAGGCTAATGTAACTCACCTTGATACTGAGGCTTCTGATCATTTCTTGTTAATTTTCTCTTCACATGATGAGCAAATTAAGAAGAAAAGACGTTTTTACTTTGATAAAAGGTGGGTTGAATGTGAAAATGTTCAGAATATTGTCTCTGAAGCTTGGTCCAATAACTATATTAGGTTCGAGCAATTTCGTGTTAACTTTAAAACAAAGAAGTGTCGTAGATCCTTAGTGGCTTGGGTATGGGGAAGAAATGGTAATGCTAGAAAGAGAATTATTAGTATTAAGAAACAGATTACAGACCTTAGAAGTGATGCTAATAATTTTGATTGGAATAAACTTAGGGTGTTAAAAAAGGAATTAAGCCAAGCTTACAAAGAAGAAGAAGAAATATAATTAGGGGTTTTCAAACATCTGAAGGGAGGTGGGTGAGTGATCAAACTGGAATAGTTCAAGAAGTTGAGGCATATTATGATACACTTTACATCTAACCCGACAAATTTCGAAAGTATTCTAAATCATGTCAATGTAACGATTAGTGACTCTATAAATCGAGAACTCATAAAAGATGTAAGTGAAGAGGAAGTAAAGAATGCGGTATTCGCTATGCATCCTCTTAAAGCGTCAGGTGTGGATGGAATGACTCCTTTATTTTTTCAAAAATATTGGAATATTATATCAAAGGAGATTTATGAAGCTATTAAGAGTTTCTTCACTACAGGATACCTAATTCCTTCGTGGAACCATACTTTAATCACTCTAGTACCTAAAGTTAAAATCCTTACTTTTGTATCGCAATTTAGACCCATAAGTTTATGTTCTATTCTTTATAAAATTATTGCAAAAAATCTTGCTACGAGAATGAAAAATCATTTAACTAAGGTTATATCTCCGACTCAAGCAGCTTTCGTTGGACATAGACAAATAACTGATAATATTATCTTAGCACATGAATTTATGCATTTTCTAAAAAATAAACGCAGAGGTAGAGAGAAATTTATGGCGATAAAATTGGATATGTCAAAAGCATATGACAGAGTTGAATGGATATATATCCAAAAATGCTTTAGCAAATGGGTTTTCATGCCAGATTTGTAGAATGAATTATGCAATATATTTCTACCCCTACCTATAGTTTTAATATAAATGGGGAGGTAGTTGGATCAGTTAGGCCGACTAGAGGAATACGATAAGGAGATCCGCTATCACCTTATCTATTTTTAATATGTGCAGAAGGTTTCTCTACTTTGTTGAAGATTTCTGAAACTCAAAATGAAATTCAAGGTTTAAAGTTAAATAGACATGGGCCGAGCTTAACTCACTTATTTTTCGCAGATGACTCTTTTATATTCTATTCAGCTAATGCTCATAATGCATTCCATGTAGCTGAGATTCTAAGAAAGTATGAGCAAAATTCTGGGCAAGTAGTTAATTTAGATAAATCAGCTATTTGTTTTAGTACAAATGTAACGGAGGAGGAGAAAGTAGAGATATGTTCCTTACTTGGACAACAACAAAGAAATGAGATGGGTATGTATTTAGGATTACCAGCTATCGTGGGACGCTCAAAGAAAAAGATGCTAGAATTTATTAAGGATAGAGTCAAGACAAAAATAAAAGGATGGAAGGGTAAATTTTTAAGTACAACAGGGAAAGAAATAATGCTTAAATCTGTACTTTCAGCAGTCCCTACCTATGCCTTGTCTTGCTTCCAACTCCCCGATGGTCTGTGAAAGGAGATTACATCTCTTTTTTCTAAATTTTGGTGGGGACAAACCGAGAATAAAAGGAAGATGCATTTTGAGAAGTGGGAAAGATTATGTGATTCTAAATCAAGAGGGGGCTTAGGATTTAGGGACTTAAATGCTTTCAATATGGCTTTGTTAGCTAAACAAGCTTGGCATATATTGTCATACCCAGATTCATTGTTAGCAAGAGTACTTAAAAGTAAATACTTTCCACACTAAACTTTCCTTGACGCTTCTACACCATCTACTGGATCATGGAGCTGGAGAACTATTTTATGGGGAAGAGATCTATTAGTTTCTGGACTAAGGTGGAGGATAACTGATGGAAAAAATATAAATGTTTGGATCGATCCTTGGATCCCAATAAATAATAATTTTACTCCAAAAAGTATTCAAATGCAAAAACAATTTAGATCTTAAAGTTGCCAACTTAATTGACGACGATACGCATACCTGAAAACTTCATAAGATAAGTACGACTTTTGAACCTGAAGATGCAGATGCAATTTTGTCTATTCCAATATCCATCATAGGTCTTAATGATAGATTACTATGGCATCATTTAACATCTGGAAACTATGAAGTTAAGTCAGGTTACTATTTAGCAAAGGGTTTGGCGGGCAAGACTAGTAGGAATTCGGAAGTCCAGGCGAGTTGTCATTCTTTTCCTAAAAGCTTCTGGGATTCTTTGTGGAACTTAGAAATTAAAAATAAGCTTAAACATTTTCTAAGGAAGTGTATGATTAACTATTTGCCCGTTAATTGTAACTTAGCTAAAAGATTACAGAACCTAGATAAAACGTGTAAGATTTGTGGTCTAGAAAGTGAAGATATAGAACATATGCTATTTAGATGTCCCCGATCTCAGCTTGTATGGAAACAAAGACCTATTAATTGGCCTAATATTGAAAACATGACTGACTTTTCTGTGTGGTGGTACAACTTATTCTTAAATGCTAAGCATTTTCCTGAATCTACAGAATTATTATGTTTGAGTGTTAATATTATGTGGCAAATTTGGAAAGGTAGGAATGCTTGGTGCTTTAATCAAGAAATGTTAGAGCCAACTGATATTGTTTCTAAAACTCTTTTTGAGTATGAAAAATATAAAGATATATTAACTAGTTGCCTCGTTGTACAACATTCAACTTGAAATGAGTTTGTGCCTAAACTAACCAATTTTCAAGATGATGTTTTATTATTTACAGACACAAGATTATGGTGTGATGATAGACATGCGAGTATTGGTGTCGCGACTTTGAATAGCCTTGGAAAACTGGTTCATGCCCATGGATCCCCAATTCAGTATGTTGGGAAAACCATGACTGCTGAAGCGATTGCCGTAAGAAAGGCACTTGAATGTGCTATTACTCTTGGATGAAAAAGTGTGAAGATTTTATCTGATGCTAAGAATGTTGTTGATATGATCCAAAAACAGGTGGCTACTTCATGGGAGATAGAAGTGTTGTGTGAAGACATTTGGAAGCTATCAAGCATGTTTGATCACGTTGAGTTTCTTGATATTCCGAGGAAGTTAAACAAAGTAGCTCATAATTTAGCTAAATTTTCTATTTCTTTGTTGAAGAACATCTCCTGGGAGAAGTTTTTCCCAACTTGGGTTGTCCAGGATGCAAAAAGTACATTTGAACTTTGTTGTTCGTTGATGCAGCAATATGAAGTCTTTGTTTCAGAGAAAAAATTAAAATAAATGGAAAATGCTTTACGAGATTAGGAGCAAAAGTTAATTAACTTTTCATTTCCTCAAGCCAACGAGAAATAATTGATGGGCCTTGTTTGGGCTTTTAGGATTTGAGGCTGAAATTTTTAAAATAAAAAAATTGCGAAAATATTACACTTTTTGGGGTGATATTTAACTTTTGACCCCCACTTATCTCATAGGCAGAACTTCAAAATCAAAAGCTAAAAGTGTTGCCCGTCGGGCAAGCGAGAGCAACCTATGTTGCTTGGAATTTCCAAAAATAACATCGTGTGTGTAGGATCCTCCCAAAGTAGTATATTTTTGGAGGATCCTATAGGGTGCGGCGGCATTTTGAAGAGTTCGCATAACATAGGGACCAACACTTATTAAACTTGAAGTTCTGCACATAAAATAAGCATGGACAAAAATTTAAGACCATTCACTTTGAGGGCTATTTGTGAACTTCACCCTTCAAAATTGCTTCAGATACATAGTCCATGCCAACTCACTATTTAAAGAACTAATGGGTAAAATTAATTGAACATTTATATTTCAGTATTTAACTCTAGAACAATAAGTTATTGAAGAACTGTGTTTTTAGAGAACTCAAGGTTATGACTTGAAAAAAGTACTTGAATTCTTTAGCTTCAACAAGAAAAACAGAATCAATTTTTTTTAAATACAAAATTCAAACTGGTAGCAATGCAATGTAAATAATTGAACTTTTCATACAGCATTTTCAAGATTTTGCATCATATTTTTAGGATTCTATATAACAAAAGAAACAAAAAAAAAATATATATTTGAGGGTGAACTTTTGTACAGCTTCTCAACAGAAATCCAAAAGCCTAGGCCAACCTTGAAAGCATGGTGCTAAATATTTCAACCTCATGTTGTGTATATTGCTTCTGCTTAGCCTTCAGCTCCTTGTACACGAGCTTCACATCTCTGCTAAGATCAGTTAAACTTTAAGAACACATTGAGGAAAGTAAAAATGGCAGCCCGGTGCACTAATCAATTTCCCTATGTGCGGGGTTCGGGGAAGGGCCGGACCACAAGGGTCTATTGTACGCAACCTTACCCCTGCATTTCTGCAAGAGACTATTTCCACGGCTTGAACTCGTGACCTCCCGGTCACTTGGCAGTGACTTTACCAGTTACGACAAGGCTTCCCTTCAAACATTGAGGAAAGTACCGCACGAAAATAAATAAATAAATAGCATATATATGTACCAATGTATGTACGTATGTTCAAGAATCAGGCCGAAAAAAATTTGTAGGAGGCAAAGTATAAAGGCAAATACCTGTTGTTTGGATCAAGTTTAAGAGCTTTCCTAATATCAATTTCAGCCTTTTCCAATTCATTGATTCTCAGGTATGCTTGAGCCCTTCTAAAAAGAGCTTTGACATTGCAAGGATCATACTCTATAACCTGTTTCCATGTTAAACAAAAAACTATCTTATCAGTAAAACAGGTATCAACTCTCTGTGGTAAAAGTAAAGAGGAAGGGTAAATAATGAACCTTGCTACATAGTTTTGAGGCTTCTTGATGATCTGCAATCTTCAACTTACAAGCAGCATTATTCAAATAACACGAAAATCGCAAAGTATTTGATTGGCACTTTTCATTGTCGTTGAACGAGTGATCAAACTGGATGAATTTCAATGCCTGGAATTCAGAATACATACTTCAGCTTACAGACAATACATTGTATATGTAGATCAAAGCACAACTACTTGGTTAGAACATTTCAAGAATGAAAAAATATTACATTCCTTGTCATACTTCCTTGATGCACATTGAAACTTGCCATCTTTGAATAGTACATTTCCTTCGTTCTTAGTTTTATCACATGCTTCAATTTTCTCTTTTGTGTCCATCTTCCAAAATGGTTTCTCCTGTATGAATCAAGAAACTGGTTTTTAAAAGAATCATTAATTTGATCACTCTGAAAATAGAAGGATCTTATTGATTACTTCCTTGTAAAATAAACCTTGTTGAAATCAACCAATTTGATCTCATAAACCACAAAGTCTGCAGTAGATACTTCTTCTACTTGACAATAGTCCGAGCTGATTGTAACTATTGCTTCTTCTCCTTTTCTCATAGTCATGATAGCTCTATCTAAACTCTCACTGAATTTCCCTGCATGACAAGTTTATCTCACTATAGGAAAATTGTAAAATCTGTAACTTATCCCTCTCTTTTAAATTATATAAGACAATTCTTTTTCCAAATGAAAATGTAACAGTCCACGAACCGCTGGCTGATAAACTCGAAGGTAGGTGTTTGTTGCGAAGCTTGCCTTTGCAAAAAATTTCACATAGAATAGGAGGGGAAAGTTTGTGGGCGTAAAAGGCCGTGTTAAAGAATACAACTTTTGAGGCCTCAAAGATTGGGCCATAGCAGACAATACATTGGCTGTTACCTTCTTTTTTTCAAGTCGAGGTGAACATCACTTAAAGAAAAGAAAAGTTTACCTTCTAAACATGCATATTCAAGGGGTTCATCATCTGATCCTTTCCTGTCAAATACAGTCCCATCTTGTAGCTTTCCAATATAAACCACTTCAAGAACATAAAATTCCAAACATTTAATATTTTCTTCATTTTACACATGTATTTAACAAACAAAGTTAATTTGTGAAAATTACCTTTTACAAGGGATCCTTCATTAGGACGATCATAGCCTTCACCAACCTTAATTAACTTCTTAAGAACCTTCTTATCTCCAGTAACATCAACAACAGTTTTCCATGAAATCAGCTCAAGATGAATGTTCAAATTCAAATTTGGTTGCATTCCATTTTCAACACCATCAAAACAATCTTCAAGTTAATGAAAACACAACTTAATTATCTTTCTTTTTGCTTATCAATAATTTAATTTTGTGTTTATAAAACTTACAAGTTGGTTTCACAGTTAACTCAGCTATTTCTCCTTTTCTCATTGTCTTTACAGATTTCTTCATGGCTGGACAAAGGTAATCTAATAAAGGTGCAATTTTATTAGTACTTCTATATTTCTTAGTATGTAAAAGAAAAAGTAATTTAAACAAATATTTACCATCCAATAAAGAAAACTCCACACCATCATCAGATCTTGACAGAGTTTTTCCATCCGCAGAGCTTGCTACATACTTCACTATCCAATAAAACAGAGGTAATAGAAACTTAAAAACATGAGGAAAAATGGAATAAAAATTGTTTACTAAAAAAATAATAATTTAATTCCTAGATATTTCTGGTGTTGAGTAATATAGTTGTCATGCATGAGTTGTATAAGAATTTCCAAATGATTTATAAACTCGTGCTATTCCATCCGTTACCCGAATTCGCGCAAGTGTGTCCACGCCCCCAAACTTAGTTGACAAGGAATACTTTCTCGCAAACAAACACAACCCCTAGACAAACCTAGGAGCACCCTTTCCTGCATATCCATACAGGACCCGAGTAGGCGGGTCGAGGTCCTTCGAGGTACCCACTACTTGGAGTACCCTCCCAAAAGGAAAAAGATGTATCTGTTAGGTTCGATTCTTCTTAGTTGGGTTGGGCGGATTCGACCAGAAATGCTATGCTTACACACAAGACTACCCCTCTTTCCCAAAGCTACTTTAGGACGACGAACGACCGCCAGCAGGGGTTTACAACACAAGGCCCCTACAGAGGAAAGGCTTTATCCCAGCAAATAGAAGATACTCTGCTCCGCACAACATAAGGATTATCACACTTTCGGGAAGAACATAGTATAGTAGAAGATGTCGAACGTTCAAATTTTTTCACATGACGTTACAACTAATCATTTGTAAGCCCATTATCACACTTGTAAGTTTGTATTAAAATTCACGTGTGCCATGTGAAATCTAACATCGCGTTACACGTGCAAGAGGGTGTTGAATTACTATATAGCGGTTCCACATGACTTGTGTAAGCATTCTTGAAAGAGTACATAGCAATCTTAAATTAGCGTATATTTTGGGTTGGATGCTCAAATTCTTTTAGAATACAAAAACCAAGTTCAAGTTGATATGAATAATAGTAAATGAAATGAGACATTACCTAATGCTTCATCTACATCTTTAGGTGTAGCCCACCCTTCACCTTCTTTTATTATTTTCTTCAATATTCCTCCATCTCCAGTGATATCTCTAACTGAATTCCAAGAGACCAATTCTATGTCAAAAACAAGTGTTGAATTGGGAGGAATTAGAGGAGGAGAACCAGTTTCTCCATATGCCAAATTTGGTGGAATTATGAATATTGCTCTTTCACTCCTTTTCATTGTAGCAATTCCTTCATCCCATCCTTTAATAACTTCACCTGGAATTCAATAATGAATAATAAAATTCACTTAGCTCAACAAAAATTCAGGCTCTCTTCGATTAGAAAATTGATATAATTTTGCTTAATTAGACATTTCATAAATGGTAAGCAACTTGTTATATCGTGTTAAATTACCCTGATGGTTTAAGAAATTCATTACACTGGCAGTATATATTACTTAAATGCCGACAATATAAGAAAAGAAGGGCAGCCTTAGAACAACGTTAAAGTTGTCTCTGTGTGAAATATAGGTCATGGGTTCGAGCTGTGGATGTAGCCACTAATGCTTGCATTTGGGTAGGCTATCCACATCACACCCCTTGAGATGCGGCCCTTTCCCGGACCCTGTGTGCCTTGTTCACCATGCCGCCCTTTGCCTATCCTAAGAATATAAAAAAAAGGCTGGTGCACTAAACTCCCGCTATGCACGAGGTTCCGGGAAGAGCCGGATCACATGAGTCTATTGTATGCAAGAAATTGTTTCCACTGCTCGAACCCGTGACCTTCTGGTCACATGGAGGTAACTTTACCAGTTACGTCATGGTAGTAACGCGTGACGAGAATATAAGAAACCGGTAATTGAATAATTTCAAAGAAACCAGAATATTACCTTGTCCTAGCTTGAATTCAAAAGGTTTTCCTTTGTCATGGCTAGAATCAAAAATCTCCCCATCTTCTAGTTTC